GCATACACAATCACATTGAAGGCCAGATAGTATCACTGTATCCAGAAAGCAGAAATGCACCAATATAACACCAATGAAGAACCGTAACACTGAAAACCAATGTCAATGAGAGCTGGCTCTCGCCACCACCAACATGAGTGTCCAGGCCCTATCTCCTACTTGGCGCTCGGCACCCAGCCTACTCCCTACACTGCTACAGTCTGCCTACTAATTGACGATGCAACTGCATGTCAGCAGCCCACGAAGTACTTGAAGATGTCGCCCGTAGCAGACCATCGCCAATACGAGGTATGTGCCCTCACATCATCGTCATCATCATCCTTTTCTCTCTCTCCCTCGTCTTACACCCAGGCCTTCCCCCTGTATACCCGAAGACCACCCCTGCGCCTCACTGTAGTGCAAGCCCAACCAGCTATGGAGGCTGGGCTATGGCGCTGCCCTCAGCAGCGCCCTGCTCCCTGCATGACCGCACATGCTAGCACCTCGCCTCTCAGCGCCAGCAGCAGCCCACGAGCGTCCGCTCCAGCAGCGCTGCCGCTAGCATGCGAGTGCCTGAATGGGGCTGCCAGTGGCGAGCTCTTTCCTATATGGAATGAGCCTGCCTGCCTTCGCAGCCTGCCTGGACTGGGCCTGGGCCCCGAAGTTTCCGGTAGGCTCCAGGATGCTGAGCTTGTGTCGCAGCTACTGGACCTCTTTCGGTTGGGCCTCCCAACTGTCAGTGTATGAGGCTGCGATTCTCGCCCAGGGCCTGCATTCTTGGAAAGGCCCAGAAGGCCGTGGAAAGTCTCTGTTGCTCGGCCTGTATTTCCCTTCAACCAACTGGCGCGTCACAACTGTCTGGACCCCAAATACGAAATTGACAGCTGAGGGCCTCTCGTGATTAGTTAGGCCCGCCTTCACTTAGGGCGGGCAGAGATTCAACAGGGGCCCCTTAGGCCTGCCGGGGACCCGAATCCTCGCAGCTATATTTAAGGGTTTAAAGTCTGTCAATGGAACAAGATGCGCTATATCCAAGTGTTAAGTGTGTGAATGAAACAAGAGCATGACACAACCTCACCCTGAGGTCTGCTGAAACCACCACCAGTTCCTCTCGGGACCAGTTATGTTTGAATTTCAATGTTGTTATTGGTTTCTTTGATGGCTCGAAGTTCTTTAAAGGTGTGAAAAGCTGGAGGACTTTGTACCATCCATTCAAGTGTAGTAGACCAAGACTTTATGGACACTTAAAGTCAAGAGTAGAAGAGGGTGATGGTGGATAGGTTCAACAAGTATGCAGAATTTGTTCCATTATTGGATGAAACAAAATCAGAGTTAGTTATTGGCAAGTTTCTTGCACATTGGGTCGAGGATAACAGGCATCCGTATGTTGTTTCTAAAGACGTTAGATTCACAGTGGAGCGATGGCAACAGTTAATGAAAGTGTGTGGTTTGCTGTTGATGATGTAATCCAGTAGACATTGAGAAACTAACTGCCAGACAGAACGGATGACCAGATGCTCTGTATGTACATCAGACTTGACTAAGTAGATTGGGATGAATGGTTATCGAAGGTAGCTTCTCCATTTGTCAACAGGGCAGACATTGAATGAACTGGACAGGGGATCGAAACCTCGCAGAGCCGTCGACTGTCTAATGAGCAAGTCCAAAGACGCGAGTTTGCACTGAAGTATGGGAAAGACCTTCATAAAGTTGCTATGAACATCAGACACGCGCAACTAAGAATGGTAAAACAAGTTAAAAGGCATAGGTGATCCTCAAAGTCTGCTTTGGGATATCTAATTCGGGTCAAGTCTATGGAATCTCCCCCAGAGGGAGGAAATTGCTGCCTACACCTCGAAGTTTTGCTTTGGGATACCTAATTCGGGTAAAGTCTCTGGAATCTCCCCCAAAGGAAGGAAATTACTGCCTACGTATAAATGACCGGACGTACTGATCTAGTAGGAGATGCAGATTGCCCTTCTTGTGCCATAGGTACACTTCTGTGCCTGCGCACTTACCCTGTATTTTGTGCCTCCGAGCTGCTGCCTTGTGTGTGGGATGGGTCCTATCCTTCGTGCAGATACACGATCCGCCCAGGTTTGGATGGCGGATATGAAGACAGACAAGAGAGAGGCGGTTAACAGAGGCCTCAATTTTCAGACAACTTCTCATGCCATTTATAACAAAACCCAAGGGTCATTTTCTCAAATTTGCCACCAATTCATAGAGTTGCAATCAGACTCGACTTATTCACACTTTTCATGCACGTGAACAGCAGCACACAACTGGCGACATGCGCCCACACAGTACACAGAGATATGTCTTCCAGGTAAGTTCGCTTCCACTGGCTATGGCGACTGAGCGCCCTTACAACTCACTGTTCACACTCTGGATCACCCTGGATCACCCTGGATGTCCCACACGCAACACTCTGTAACCACACGCAACACACACACACACTACTGCAGCTATGGCAGCGCTAGCTGCCACTACGCTAGAGCTATACTACACTCCTCTGCCCACTTCGTCTTCGGGCACACTGCAGACCTCCTCGCACAAGCTGCTGAGGCAGCGCTTCCGCATGGCATCCGCAGGAATGAATGAATGGCTGGACGCAGCCTCTTGATTTATACTTCTGCGCTGCGTTGGTCTGCCCTGTGTCCCTTGGCCCTTGGTGCACACAGTCCCAGACGGTACTTGCTGGACAGGCCGGACTGCTTAACTGGGACTGTTGACTCAGCGAGGTGGCCTACCACCACTTGACCACTTGCCTCTGTTCAACGCAGGCTCATTCCGAAAGGCCACTTCTAGAACCCTCTGACTTGGCCTTTCGGTACTGTAGCAGCTACGACTTTGCCCCTTCAGGTAAGTAGCAGCTACGACCTTGACCCTTCAGGCATCCTACAGCTACGACTTCGGAACTGTCTAGACTCCTGCTCTACAGGTCTACAGTTCGATTCGCTTCTACCCTGTGACCTACGCACTGACGTTCCTACAGGTCGCAGGTTCAAATCTACGGGTGGACATCAATACTGTACACAGGTAAGATGGGGAACTAGGGATCAAGCCCTGGGATCTGCATTCGCTACTGCAAACTGGTGAATACCGTTTCAGAGTGGAGATCATACTGACTACTTACAAAAGAAAGAAAGAAAGAAAAAACTAGTAAAAGCTATAAAACAGCAATGCAAAAGTGCACTTTCATGAAATTTCACCAGCATTCCAATTTCAGAAATCTCATCAGAGGAAATTCCAATGGCCCAAATGATAGCAAATTTGCTACACTGCAACCTTAAACCAACAGGCAATAATGCCAATAAATGAAAAAAATAAAATTGAACCCCAACCTGGGTGGGGATCTGGTCCGCCCGGCTGACTGGTGGGGGACCGGGCAGGGCACCCAGTAGGGGGCCGGCCCCCCCCTGCGCACTCACCTGTCTGGGGGTCTCGGACCCCGTTTTCGCTGCTTCTGCTTCTTCTTCTTCTTCTTCTTCTTCTTCTTCTTCTTCTTCTTCTTCTTCTTCTTCTTCTGCTTCTGCTTCTTCTTCTTGTGCTTCTGCTTCTTCTGCTTCTGCTTCTTCTGCTTCTGCTTCTTCTTCTGCTCCTCTTCCTCCTCCTCCTACTTCTCCTCCTCCTCCACGCGATACACGACAGGTTAAAAAAAAAAAAAAAAAAACGAAGGCCGTCCTCCTCCCCCAGACACCCCAGCACCCCCCACCCAGACCAATCACCCCCCTCCACCCCCCAAAACCAAAATTTTAATGCGAATTCGGGGTCCTCTCGCCGAGTGCAGAATGAGCCCGTTTTCAAAAACAAAATAAAAAATATTCTGGGCGGTTTTTGGCCCGCCCCATTTACCCAGGTGTCCCCCCGGGCCCAACCGGCCGGATGGCATCCTCACGCAGCCCCCAAAACTAATTTCAGTTTTGGACCTGTTCCTCAGGAGCTGAAGTGGGGTCCCGGTTAACCACTTGTGAGACAAGAAGGGTCGTAGCTTGTTGGAGGACCTCCAAATTCAGCTTGCAAGAGTGAAAGGATGTCTTGCACTTGGGTGCCTAAGTCTTAGATCCGTCCCAGAAGTCCCATATGCCATTTATCATAGCCCAAACCATTAGGCCCAGCAGTACTGTAGCCGTTATAGGCTACGATAGGTTCGTTTGTACAGTCAGTCCCGTAGGTCGCTCGGCTAGGCAGTCCAACCAATGGGCCAATCCCAAAAATAGGAGCTCAGTCCTTTGAAAGTCTGGTACCTACTGAATGTCAAACAATACCGCGACTGACAGGTGGGAGATCAGTATGGGTCCTCAATCCATGATTTCGAACTGCTTCAAGACATAACAGTCCAGCGGCCTCCCAAGGTCAACACAATTCTTCGCTATCCTGTTGTGTAAGCGCTGCTGCATTTGCGGGCAAGTGTCAAGGGGGACTGGAGAGCGTAGCCTAGGTTAGTTTATGGTGCCCAGTGCCATAGCTATCCTGTTTTGTAAGCGCTGCTGCATGTGCAGGCAAGTGTCAAGGGGACTGGAGAGCGTAGCCTAGGTTAGTTTATGGTGCCCAGTGCCATAGCTGAGGAAGCGAAGTGAGGGAGAGAGTGATGAAGTGAGAGAGAAGATATGCAGGGAAGGGAAATCCATAGCTGTTAGGTGGAAGTGAGAGTGGGAGAGAGAGAACTTGTGTTACCTCATGGATGTTGGAGATGACATTAGCCCCCGTGTACATAAGCAGAGACTTTGTCCATAATCCCTTGATTCTCCAATATGAATTCCAAGTTTTCTTTATTTGTGTGTGTCTTGCGCCTGCTGTGCGGAGCTTGGTGTGACTAATGTGAGCTTTTGCGGGGACTCTACTTCTGAAAGACACTGAAAAGTGTCCCTGGGGAGCTGGTGGGGGATTAGCTGGCCGTTAAACAGCAGCTGAGTTTCAGAAAACTTTCTGAATTCCTCATTTGAGTGGATAGTGCACTTTGGTGTGGCAACTTCTGTTTCATTGGTTTTAACTTCGTGGTTTTGTTAAATGAGCAGTCACTGGGTCTATTCTGATCAGCCATCTATGCACTGTTTCGCTGTTTGGCTTGCAGGTGAAGTGCGGGGCAGAATGGCATCAGCCGATCTATTGGGCCGTGCTGGACGAGAAGGTGGGCGTCATGGTAGGCGCCATCCCTCTTTGATAAATTCATCTAGAGGGACATACGGACATTTGCGGAACAGCCTGGCAACAAGCAATCGACACCTTAGTGTGGCAAGTAGTAGGAGTAACGGCAGCGGTGGGAGAAGCAGTGCAGCACCTGGAGCTGGGCCAGGGCTGTTGGGGGCCTCGCCTAGTGGCTATGGGGCGAATGGAAACTATGGTCAAAGGGGAAATGATTTTAGCAGTTATGGTAGTAGGAGTTCTGGAAGATATAGAGGAGGAGGAGGAGGGGGGGGGAGTGGGGCTTCCATGGCGAGTGTCAATGGTGGTTTGAACCCTGGTGGACGGTTGGTGGGTAATGAAGGCAGTAGGGTAGCGATTGGGTTTGACATGGGAGTTGATATGGGTTACAGGGATCCTGCGTTTGGCGCTGGGGAGCTCCGTGACTATGGGCATGGGACTCGTGGTGGGGGAATTCTGCCTTCTCCAGATGGATCAGAGTATACTCCTCATGGTACATTTATTCGCACACCACGAGCTGCTTCCCGGTTTGCAGGTTGGTGCTCTCTCTGTTAATGGCCACAATGGCAGTTTTGTACAACTGTCTCTCTCTGGACATTGTGGGGCCCCTATGTGGTCTCTCGGGGTTACACGTGCTTACACGTGCTCACATAAATCACACACACTTGCAGAGGCACATCGCTTCCTACCTGTGCACCCCGCATTGCCTCCCAATTTTGTACAACTCGCTCTCTGCGCATCGTGGCCCCTATGTGGTTTCTCGGGGCCACACACATGCCTACACTTGATCATAAATCGCGCACACTTGCAGAGACACATTGCTTCCCACCTGTGCACCCTACATTGCCCTCCAATCCTGTGAAACTGCGTGCTGGTTGAGCGCGCGGTTGGCGCTCAAGGATTTGAGTGCCACTCGAAAGCGCGCTCAAATCGCGCTTGAGCGGGGTTTCAGTGGGTGCAGGAATATTTTTTTCGGGGGCAAAAAATAAAAAATAGGGTTGTAGATCTACAACCTTATATTTGTTTATTTTATTTTATTTTAAAAATATAAAAACTGAAACGAAAAACACACACACAAACCTCCTCTCTGCCTACGGTTTACCGGGCAGCTCTGTTCGACGATAGACAATATATATTGCCAAATAGAACTGCCCGGTAAGCCGTCGGCAGAGAGGGAGAAGAAAGCAACAGACGAGGGGTTGTGACAAACTGTAAGTGTGTGTGTGTGTGTGTGTGTGTGTGTGTGTGTGTGTACAGTATAAGTATTTTTTGGCTGTGACAGACCGTGGGTGCTGGTTTGTGATGGGTGTGAACCGACAGTCTGTAAAGTTTTCCATCTGATGTGTGTGAGTGATAGTCTGCTTTGATTTTTGTCACAAGTACCTTGAGGGCAGTGGTTGGTGCCCACCTCAGGGTGCCCATGGTAACCGACTTAAATACTAACCTACAGACCTACGGAGCCCAACTGATTGGCAAACCAAACTTGACTTCAGACTTGCTTTCAACATACATGAGAACTGATGGCCAAACCAAACTTGTCAACTCAGAATCAACAACGAACTTGCACTTAAATCAAGACAACTGTACAACTTGCGGCTATGGCCGCCGAACACTATCTCCACCACCAGCCTCACTCTCCCTCATGCACACATGTACGAGGATCTACCCTGAATGCCCACGCTACACGGACACACACACTCTATACACTCTGTCTGCACCAACAGCTGGGCGGCTATGGTCGTCGTTGTCTTCCTCCTTCCAGCTATGGCTGTCGTCTTCCTCTCTCCCCACTTCAGCTCCGGGCACCTGCAGACCTCCACGCACAAGTCACCAAGGCAGCGCTTCCGCATGGCTCACAGGCGAATGAATGAATGGCTGGACGCTGCCTCTTTATTTATACTTCCTTGGAGGTGGCCGGGCCCTGCCCCAAAGCGCGTGGGCCTGGGCCAAAATGTGTGGCCCCGGGAAACTTCCAGATGCGTGGCCCACTGGCCAAAACCCGTGGAACTCTCCGCGTCGTCCAGAACCTTCCCCACGTGCAGCCCTTACCCAGGTACTTGCTGACTCCGACAGACTCTTCCGGACAGACTCTTTTGGACCTTAGAGCCTATGGACTGTTACCTACAGACTGACTCTTAGGCCTTCGAAGAGGTAAGTCGAGACTTCTAGAACAGACCTTCCTAAGCTAATGGTAACAGACTTAAGTACTAACCTACAGACCTAGGGATCAAGCCTGACTTCCCTTCCTACAGCCTAACCTATGATACAGGACAGGTCTAGGGATCGAATCTCAATCAGCACACAGGGTCAATGTACAGGGTTCAGGCATAAGTCTAGAGATCGAGTCTCAGTGTCTGCAATGTCATGTCAACTGGGTGAAACCGTTTCACTCCCGCTGTCCTAAATTTGAGGTCCTCCAGGAACACTCTAACTCAATGTAGGACCTTTCCCCGTTCTTTCTCATTCATAGGTGTGTACTATGCTGGGAGCGGTTTCTAACAGCTCTGTTCTAGTAAACCATCTGTCTTCCTCTGGATCCTGATATGTGAACCTGACTTTGTATTGCTTCTGGGGATGACCTCGCCGTCCGGTTCTGAACATGTCCTCTTCCACTATGCGATCTATATCATAGGCACCATCCATATCTGGTGGAATCATTGACCTTAGCGAAGGAAATATGTCGCTGGTGGTGCATGGCACGGAAGACTGGGTACGTGTGGAGATGCGCTGGAATGTCTATAGTGTATGATGGTCCGTCCTCTCCTCCTTGACTTCTAGGACAGGCCATGGTCCTCTGTACACAGGTAAGAGATTTTGCGAGATGTCCTCCTCGGGTGCGAACTCTTTAGACTTGACCCAGACTAAGTCATCTACCTGAAACTGTGAAGGTCGGCTGTGCTTGTTAGCTTGTTCGATCATACGATGCTGGGCCTTTCTAAGATTGTCAATTACTCTGGCGACTTCCTGCTCATGCTGCAATCCAAACTCTCGGGTGCCGGGCGGTAATCTCTGTATCTGATCCCGGTTTAGTCCTTCAAACGGTCTCCTTGGTCTAAAGGACTTGTGCAGCTCATTAGGGGTCCTATAGCTAAATGAACATTGTTGTTATAGGCGCTTGCTACCTTGGGGAGCATCTTATCCCAGTTCACTTGATCCGGTGTAATATACATTCTGAGTAGCTGTTGCAAGATCTTATTCTTCTGTTTTGTCTGGCCGTTCGTCTTTGGGTGTCGGCCTGATGACATCAACAACTTGGACCCATAGACTTTCATAAGATCCTGCCAATTCTGATTGGTAAACCGCGTGTCCCTATCACTAACTATGGACAGTGGCATTCCATGCTCGCTTGCGTAGAAATCAAAGAACTTTCCTATTACTAAATATGTCTGCGCTTCTGCCGGTAGCGGAACAAAACTGCATACTTACGAAATCGATCTACTATGACCATAACTTGACTTTTGCCATGCCTACTTCTGACCCTAGTATCCATAAAGTCGATGGAAACTGACTCTTCGGGTCCTGATGGAATAGGTAGGGGTCTGAGAAGACATAGCGGGGCTCTTGTTGTGGTCTTATTGCGCTTACATACTTTGCAACTGTGAATATACTCGTACTCTATGCAGTCTGCTTTCATACTTGGCCACATGTATGACATCATCAGGTTAGCTAAAGTCTTTTGCCATCAGAAGTGCCCCTCTTTATCGTGGAATTCCCCTAAGATCAGACTACGGATCTCTTCATTGTTGGGGACGCATAGTTTGTTAGCAACATTGGTCTTCTTGAACAATAACCCGTTCGGGGTTCGGTAGTGCGGCTCACTATTTGGGGCTGCCTTTACTCTTTTCAGCAGCTCACTAAGATCGGGTCCTGTGCATAGGCATCCCTTACTTTCTGTTGCAGATCAACCCCTATGTCTAGATAGTGCACTATCGTGCCAAAAGAATCTGCCCTCCTGCTTAGAGCTTCGGCTACCACATTATAGTTGCCTTTAACGGGTTTTAGCTCAAAGTCAAACTGGTCTATCTCAGCAGCCCATCTAGTCAACTTGGGCGTCATCTCGGCTTGGGTCTTTAGCCATCTAAGAGTTTCATGATCTTAATATACCTTGAAGTGCCTCCCAAGCAGGTAGTGCTTCCAGTGATCTAAGGCCTGCCTGAGAGCGTAAAGTTCTCTCTCGTATGTCGATGTTGCCACCTTCTCTGAGGGCAGCCTGGCTGATATGAACTTTGCGGGTCTATAATTGTTGCCGTCATATTGCTGCAAGACGGCGCTTATGCCATACTGACTAACATCTGTTGTGACAACAAATGGCAGTGACGGATCAACAACTTTGAGGACAGGGTACTCTATTAAGGCCTTCTTTAATTTCTTAAAGGCTGACGTGCAATCCTGGTCCCACTTCCAAATTGTCTCTTTCCTGAGTAACCTATGAAGGGGAGCAGTGATCGTGGAGAAGTTCCTCACGAACTTCCTTCTTTAATTAGGAACGAGCGGAACTCTGTCAGCGTCCGAGGAGTCGACCAATTTCTAATCGACACTTTCTTATTGTCCTCAGGCCGAATGTCGTCTTCGTCTAGTACATGATCCCGATAAAGAATCTCTGTCTTGGCCCACTCACACTTCTTCGGGTTAATCTGAAAGTTAGACTCTCTCAACTTTCCTAGAATCTGCCTCAGATGACCCTCATGCTCCGCGAGGGTCTTGCTGAACACTAAGATATCGTCTAAATACACTTACGACGAATCTATCTAACCAGGAGCTAAAATAAGTCGTTCATGCAACGTCGGAATGTGGCCGGTGCATTAGTTAGTCCAAATGGCATCACTGTGAACTCGTAATGCCCATAGCTTGTCTTGAACGCTCTTGTACTGGTCGTCAGGGTGGACCTCTATCTGATGGTAACCTGATTTTAGATCTATCTTTGAGAAGTACTTACAACCTTGTAATAGATCTAACAGGGCATCTATACGAGGCAACTACTCTACATTCTTGATTGTGATGGCGTTCAGTCCCTTGTAGTCGATACACATACGTAGTTCTCCCTCCTTCGTTGGGACAAACAAAACAGGTGCGCCAAATGGCGACAAACTAGGCCTTATCCATCCTTTCTCTAGGAGCTCGCTTGCGAAGCTCCTCTAGCTCCGTGGGAGACATCCTCTAGACTGCTCCCTTTACTGCTAGGCTCTATCTCTATGCGGTGCTGGGTCAGTTTGGGCACTACCCCTGAAGGTGCTTCAGACAGGTCCTTGTACTCTTCCAGCAAACTGGAGATAGTAGGATGAATCTTCTCTTCCTTTTTGGGCTTATCAGACATTGGTCTCACATGGGCCACGAACACCTGCTCTTCGAGCTGCTCCTTTCGCACAAGTCTGGCGAACACAAAAGCGTTGAGGCAGCAATGGGCAAGGGGGTTATTTACCCCAGACTCGTGGTACAAGCGGACTTGCTTGACTTCGCCTGACGGACTAGGGAGCCTGCACTCGTGCTCTCTAAGGTGCAATGTGGCTCCTGCTGCGTCTCCCCAATCTGTGCCTA